ATATATATATATATATATACTGGGTACTGATTCGGTATTCATAGAAGAACTTGTAGGATTTCGTTGTTACGTCGATTGTTACGTCCAAGTAAGATACATAAATGGTGCTCATTTCAAGCAGCTAGAGAATAGCATCTCTCACGGTTTTTAGCTTTTATCTTTCTTTGTTGTGCGGAGTGACATCTTGTGCATCCTTTTAGTGAAGGCTTACTAATCGGACGTTTAACTGGAAACGAAAAAATCTTCTTTTATTGACTGAACTGATTAACATCACATCTGGGGATATATATAGGATTGAGATCTTAAAAAATCCACCGATTTTTCTACACTTATCGACGGATCGTCGGTAATACGTGGAAGTTACAGTTATCGCCATCTATACTTTTATAATAGTATTAAAATGCAGTACATTCAAATAAGAATGAATCATTTTTACCATCCAAGCGATAACATAAAAAAAATGAAATGACATTTCATATTTAATAACCTAATACAAATTTTACTTCTTTTTGATTGGTCATTTAACGGAAATAGAAAACAAGTTTTTGTTAAAACTGTAATTATAAAACTAAATATAAAAAAGAAACGAAAAATATGAAGGTAATAAAATAGAAAAAAATTATTTATTTAATAATCAATAATATAGTCAATAGTATATAAGTATGTAAAATATGTGTTAATTTTTAAATTTATATGAATGAAAATTTGTTAAAAGTACAATATTAATCAATTTTATAAAAAAGAAGTATGTGTGTCTGCGTTAAAAATACATTTCCAAAAATGATACTTTAGTAAATAATAATGATAATAATAATAATAATAATATTAATAATAATGATTATGATGGTGATGATAATTATAATAATAATGATAATAATAATAATAATAATAATAATAATAGACAAAATTATAATTAATACATAACTTAAATAAACTAGTTTTAAATGACAAACATGTTAAGTGTACATACAATATTTTTATTTAACATTATAATGAACCATTTTTGTCTTAAGATATATTGATGATTATACGCTATAAATGTATGTGATATTATTTAATAGGAATCATGAAATGACCTGATTATTTTTTTGTTATCTAATATAACATTTACAGAGCGATGTTGTATTAAATGCTTTTATTGCCTTTTGAAAATTAACTCTCGCAATATTTCAAACGAAAAACTATTCTATTTCATTAATATGAAAGAAAGGTATAGTAAGCATGTAATTATAAACAATTATAGATAAAGTAATAAATACATTAAATCATTGTATGCCATATTTTATAAAAGCAGGAATCAAAATTCCTTTATGGAAAATTTTAAGTCTACTTTCAAAATAACTAATTAAAATATATTTATGGTTTATTGTCTCCCTCTCTTTATACCTATTTTAAAGAATATAACTTATTACTATTACTTAGAATAAATTTTGTTTTTTCTTCTTCTTTCTTTAGTAGAACTTTTGTGCACTTGTATTCAAATTCTACCAACTAAAATTTAAGTTAATATAATTGACTAATATTAGCTCGAATACATTACTTTCGCAATTTTTGAAAATGAAATAATTTGAAATAACACTAAGAACATCACAAGCATTTCATTCATGTATATAAGAACATTGCACCAATTACAATTTACGAAAATGAAAAACACGATATTAGTATATTACATACTAGTGTGTATACTTTTTTTCTGCTCGACGTAGGTAGAAAGCGACAACTTCGTTTTGCACAGCAGGCAAAAAATTAACACTTTCTGCACGGAGTGATGAAAAAATGCATATCAATTTTTTAAGAGAGTATATCCCTCCCAAGTAGTACAAAATATTTAAAAAAATTGAATACATGCGTATTTAATATTAAAAAGACATTATGTGAATCTCTTTTTAATATTAAATACACATGTATTCAATATTTTTCAATATTTTATTCTACTAGGGATTATATGCTTTTCCTTCTTCTTTATCATTGTCATAATATCAATTATTATCAATGAGATGCATAGACCGTATAATTTATTTTTTTTCTCTTCTTTTCTTATTAATTTTTCTTATTTTTTTTTCTTTTTTCTTTTAGATTGAAACAAGCAATTTAAAACTATACATCCTATTAGAATATATACATAGAATATGTATGTACATAAAAAGAGAATTTTTTTTTTCTTTTTTTTTTTTTTTTTTTTTTTTTTTTTTTTTTAAGAGTTACACACATTTTATATATTTATTTTTAATTCTAAATAAAACCATATCAACGCGAATATAAATACATAGATAGATACATTTTACTGANTCTGTAAACAAACGATAAGTTATAGGTTAGGTTTGTACATTTATACTTGTAACTATTAAATGAGTAAATTAAACTTACACTTATAGAAAACTACTAAAAAAAAAACAAAATAATTAAACATAAATATCACAATAAAAACTATAAGTATTCCAAACTTAAATTAACCACAGCCGTTAATACATACTAAAGATAAAGATGGCTGCGCGTTGAATCGGAAGCGGTCCCCCAAAATTTTCAGCCAATGGCACATGAGCTGAATATGTATGGCGCATCCCTCCTACATGATCCCTACTAATGTCAAGTTTATAACGTCATATTTTTCATTGACAATTGTTGACAATACAGTATCATTAGCAATTGTATTAATGTTTTTTTTTAATTTATAAAAAGTAATATTTATTTAAAAATGGTAAATAAATGTATTGTTCACGGGTGTACAAGTGGACGAGTCAAGGATCGTAATAAGAATGCTAAATTACTTTGCTTGTTGTTTCTTACCAGGTCATTGTAAATTTCTCGGTGTGGAGCTAGACAGTCTTGATGCTCCCTTTTGAATTTTCGACTTTTTTCAGCGGAAGAGTCTGTATTCAAGAAAAATAACTTGAGATTTTCAGCTAAGCTTAGGCCTTCTTGTAATTTTTTTTAATGTTAACTTATTGAGGGGTTATACCTAGTTGCGAGGCTCAAAAAAGACGTCTTTTTATGAATTTTTTATAGAAACAGTTTTCATTTATCAATTACAAGTGATGGTAATTCAAATAGATCCTTTTTTTAAGAATACAATAGCGCGTCGATCATGTAAAAATATTGATGTGCACCGCTCCTGTAAATGATCTCCCGAACGACCTCCAAAAAAATACGTTTCGTGGTGTGCACCATTTCGGCGGTTTGGATTACTTGAAATCAAAAAATATGGTGGATTCTTTTAAAGGGTAGATTAATGCAGGTATTAAAAGGAAGGAATAATAAAAATTTTGATTTTTGACAAAATGGCGTCTGTATGAAAAATGTTTCGTTTTTGATTAAAATTTTTGCTCCAAATTGATAAAAAAAAATAGTAATAATTTTTAAACATTTTTTTCTTTCGTTTAACACCTTAGGAATGTATCTAAGAAGATTGTATAAAAATTTGAGACCGATCGGATAAGTCATTTCTGAGAAATCGTGTTCACCGACTTTGAAAACACCGTTTTAAGAAAAACGCGTTTAAAGTTTCAAAAGCAGTTTACACATAGTTAAGATCTTTTTTCTTCATCTTACATAGTATCATCTATTGCAGGGCAATAAGAGGAACCTTTTACCGTATCGGTAGCTTCTAATAAGTCCAGCTGGTGTTGCCGTCGAGCCATTCTTCCTTCTCGCGTGCTCCCATGCGCTCTCGCGTCGGAGATCATCACACGCTCTGCGTCCTCTTTTTCGACATAAACATGAGCTGCGGTGCCTAATGAAAGTTCTAATGCACTCATAAAGTACAATAATGATTTTATACCTTCACTAAACATTCCAGCTGCAATGTAAGCCGCTATTTCAACAACTTTAGAGCCACATGGAACAATTTTTGGAGTTATTTTCCATATTAACTGATTATAACTCTCATTATTATTTTGTGTAAATCCACCAACACATATTTCCAATAATTTTACATTGCTCTCCTATCTCACTTAGTTTCTGACGTACGCTTTCCTCGTTCCCTACCGTTCCTCTTTCCTCTAGCTTTTTGCATCCTAATCTGCCATTCTCCTTTCTCTACTTCCCATTTTTTCTCTTTATCCTTAAATACCTTCTGCATCTCTCCAATTCCTTTTTGGTTCTTCTCACGTATCCTCTCTATAGCCTACTTTAAATCTCTTACTTCTTCCGTTAATACACTGATAGCCGCCCCCAGCCCCTTCAATAATTGATGGTATGATTTTTCTTCTTTTTGTTCTGTATCAACAACTTTTGGTTAAAAAATTTTTTTATACGTTGAATCGTTTTCGAGATAGAGGGCGGAGAGCGCGCGGTTAGAGCATCATTTAAGGTCAACCGATAGTCCCGGTCAAAAACACGCCATATAAAGTTTATTAATTATTGATAAATATATAATTAATATTTATTTTCATTTCTTATTAACTATTACATTATAATTAATAATTATTTTACTTATTTATCTATTGTTAAGGTATAGCTGATAAATAATGACACAGAGTTAAGATAGAAAAAGTAAGACATGATATTTATTGTAAGATACAGTGAAAGAAGAATATACTGATCAACTAGCCCAGAGCTAGATCAGATACAGACAGAGAGAGGGCGTACCAGTGCCCTGTACAAAGGGACTGTACGGCCCGTAGGAAAAGTAGGGGTAAAGAGTAGGGGAAGCAGAGTGAGAAGACATAACGTCTTATATGTACGCTATTTTTAACACTCCCTCCCGGTATGTCTCGATACTCCACAAAATTTAGTTAACTCTTGAAATGATTTAAACCATACAATATATTCAACAACATCTTTAACCCTTTGACTACTGTTGGCGCCCATTGGCATCCGACACATGTTGGCTTCCTGGTACGGTTGACGCCTATTGGCGTCCGAATCAAATTTCGCTTGTTTCGCCCGTTTTAAAATTTTATAATTGGTCTTATGGTAATGTAAACCTCCAATGGTAATGTAGATTACCTATTTCGATTAACTTATTTTGATTCATTTAAATTTAATTAAACAAATATTAAGAAAATACTTAGATGAAACTAATGAATATAAATTAAGAGGTAGAGATACTAACAATGAGTCTTTTCGTTTGACGCAAAAGCATTTTCCGTCTCTATATGAAAGCAATACAGCAATTCGGAAAAGTGCAAGGCGTAGATGTGTAATGTKTGCAAAAAATGATAAGARAAAGGATACACATTACGAATGTAAAAWATGTAATGTAGGATTATYTATTCATCCGTGTTTTGAAATATATCATACGTTATTATATTATCAAATTTTATTATTAAACATTTTTATTTAAAAAAATAAAATATTGTTATTTAAAAAAAGCTTAATATTAATGTTCACTTCAAGTAATATTYGTTTAATGTAATAAATTTCAGTATTTTGAATATTTTAATATACTTYCGCAGAAATGCGTCGTTCCCTTTTTATGACGTCGTGAGTGAATTCGTACCGTACCGTACGGCCAGTGCGTGCCTAAGTCTGCCGTAGTCAAAGGGTTAAGTGATTAAAATCGTAAATAGATTAAACAAAATCTATGAACGAATAACTTTTCATACTTATTTATACTGAACTTATTCAAAATAAAATTAATCTAACTTGATAAATCTTTGGCACGGAATGTCAGTTAACTCTCAGTTACACAGCTTAGCCCTGCGAAGAGGAAGAGTTATTCCCTGAATGGGAAGAAGATAATAATTTAATTATTCATAATCAAATCTGTAAGATATTTATGTATTTCAAAGGTTAATGTCTTTGTGAAAATGTCAGCAATCTGTTTATTYGAAGGAACCCAGTTTAACTTAACCAAATTTAAATTAACGCATTCCCTAACATAGTGTTCTTTCCTTTCGATCATGTGCCTTAATTTATTATTACCATCAGATTTTGCACATGCTATTGCTGACTTACTATCACTGAACACACTTATTGGATACCATTTTCCTTTTATTATCAACTCAATTGACCGACTGATTGATAGCAAGGCTTGGCATGTTTCACTCAATGCGACGTATTCAGCTTGACAAGTAGAGAGAGCAACCCTTGGCTGCTTATGTGTTCGCCAAGCAATAGTATCACCAAATAGCTGTATTACATACCCTCACGTAGTTAGTGAGCCTTTGCAATCAGAGAAACTTGCATCAGCATAAGCTTGCAACTCTTGTGTTTTGCGTCTGAACGTCAAGGTCATACTTTTCGTACCCAGTAAGTAACGCAATGCTCTCTGCAGCATATTCCATTCGTTCTTAGTTGGATTTAAGGGGACGTTCTACTCGAAGCACCCAAAAAAAAAGGCTATTTTCGCGAATTTTTTCCAAGAAAACTATAAAAGATACCGATATAAAAGTTGTTGGGTTTGTTAAATTGAGTCTTAAACAATATAAATGAATTTTTGTTTTTTTATTTTAATTAATTTTTTATTGCAAAAACAGTAGTTTAAAAAAACACCTCAAAACTTTGGTGCTTTGGTAGCTCCATCAGAACTTGAGAATGGCTTACCTGAAACATAAAAGTAAAATGGTTTTATATTCTGTATGACTTCAGCTACAAAGTGACGCTAATATATGAAATTTTATCAATAAATAAAAAAATGGTGGACAAATTACAAAAAAACGTTAAAATGACCTTTTTTTCGTTGTTTTTGACTAAAAATAAATAGTAAAAATTAAAATTAAGGTTTACTGGTTCGTGAGATACGATGAAGCTAGTATTTCAAAACGTAGTTTCGAGAAAAACGCGTTTAAAGTGTTTTTTACTCAAAATCGTGATAAATTCTTACCTAAACTTAATCTGCGATGCCTGGACCGTACAATAGACCTTCTTCTTGTTCATATTCTTTAATTTCTTCCAGTCTTGCCTTCTTCCACTTTGATCTRGYAYYTTTTRARCACTCAGAGCTTCGACGGTTCGCAGATTCGATACGTCGGTCGTCGCGTCTTTTAGCAAAGTCGATCGCTCCTGGCCCAAGTTTCATGCCCATCGTTTCCTTTATCTTCATCACTGTTCGGAATTCTTCGTTGAAGATACATGCCGAAATTTTGCACGCAATTTCAACAACTTTTTTGCCGTTAAACATGTGTTTAGGTGCCATGTGCCTTAGATTTAAGGTACTTTCACCAGTCGATGGAACACTTAGAATGCTTTGGCTTGGCATCAGTCAAAATTTTGTGGTAGTATCCTGCCCAAATCTCGTTACGCATATCCTATGAAGAATTCAAAGGTCTTCTGACTGCTAAACCGTAGATCTCTGAGAGTTCTTTCATCAATTTGATTGTAAATTTTTAGTTTTTACTTCAGGAACTTTTTTCACAACAGTCNTTTTTTTTTTTTATTTTTCTCGACAGGAGGAAAAATCTTCCAAAGACTCCCTGGGCCCGGTACCCAGGGGAGTGTCGGATTCGATGTACAACATCGTCGTCCTACAACCCTGCTTCTACCTCCTTCACTCTCAACCTTGTCAACGCGAATATAGCTAATTTTGTTATTCAATGCAAATTAAAAAATTAAAAAAAAAAAACTTAAAACAAAACAAAATCGGAGAAATGCATTCACCCAGACTCATTATCAGTCGATTTGTTAATTAAATCAGCTTTAAGAACCTACCTAAACCTATCAAAAATTAAATAAATGTTTTTTTCTTTTTTTTTTATATAGCTATATTTAAGCCTTTATGGAACACAATTATGACTGAACGTAAAATACCATTTGGACCACTTTAAGGGGTTAATGTAGCATCAATCATCGGAGGACTATTAGCGACAAATAAATAATTATAAAGAAAATTTTTGCTCGGCTTTTTGTAGCACCTAGCGATATATTAAATACTACTTATATTATAAGCGATTTTAAAGATAAATAAAATAAACGACACTAAAGAAGAAGAAGAAAATACAAAGAGAGATAAATCTGTTTTCGGATTTGGAATTATATGCGTATATATGTCCATATATATATTAGATGTACCAATTAATTAAATGTACTTTGACGAGAGAAGGATAATTATTCGTTAATCAATTTTCCTACTTCTTCGTCTCCAATACCAGTCAGTATATGATCTGCCGAATAGAAGTTAATTTTTATCTAAGTTTAGGGACATAGGATCAACTTGTTTAAGCCCTACTGAAGCCTCGTTTTTAACAATTGGTGTGCATAGATAGACGAAACCCTTACTTATGCATTAATACTTATTGGGTTGTTCGAAAAGTAATTTCGTTTTTTTTTTCTGACAAAATTTTGACATTAATTAATGCAAATCGGCAAATAACAACACGTGAAACACGTGTTGTGAATAAAACGAAATAACTTTCCGAACAACCCAATACTTTGACGACAAGGATAGTTATTCATTAATCAATTAATTAACCCATTTGTGCATCATGACTAGAATAGAATTAGTCTTCCTTGCTCAAACATCCGAGACATTAAACTTACAACTAATTACTGAGTTACTCAAATTCTCACTGATAGAAAAATCAACATTTTTTATGCGGATTATAATGGTAATAGTGAATAGTCTCGGGTTCGTGGATTATTCCGCACTATGATGCAAATGGGTTCAATTCATTGCACCATAATCGTCATTATTCTTTTTTCGTCAAAAAAAATTCGACAATTGGTCAAATAATGGATCAAAGTAATTGCAAATTATGTAGTTCATGTAGAAGAATCACAGAATCACTAACGCATAGAAATCATTTCCAATTAATTTCTACACTTAATATATATAGATATATACGCATTAAACATATGAAATTACAATAGAATTCATTGACGTGATTGTAATTCATAATGTTTCCTAACTATAAGTACATATATCTAATGAAGGATTCTTTTTTTTATTTTTTTTTTTTTATGTTATAGCTTGCCTTCTTTTTCAACGTACAACGTCGAATGACTTTATTATTTTCGACGTTCGACGTTCAACATCGAAAAAGTACAAGGATATATATATTTAATAATAATTATAATAATAATAATATAAAATAGTAATATAAAATAGTAATTGTCATATAATAATAATAAAATTGTTAATTATGTATAAAATATCTATATGTACATGTTTACTACATCAGGATATTGCTATGAAATTTAAAGGGTTTTGAAATTAAATCTAATGTGCGCTATATGGTCGTGATACAATATTCAAATAATTTGCCGATAGAACGAATGACCTGTAAGTTTTACGACATAAATGTTCAACGATGAAAATTCTTTGTTATTTTTCGCATGTGTTTTTTGGTTTTCGTTTATATCTATAAGAACCTTCTGTACAAATTATATTCAAAAGTTTCAACTTTGCCGTCTCACTTATGCAAGCAATTCGTTCTTTCATTATTTTAATGTTTTGTCTTTCATATTTCTTTCCTTTTTTTTTTTTGCTTAATCTTCATCAACTTTTCCTAACTTTCTTCCATTCATACCTGCGTTTACACAATACACTCTAAATTGTAAAATTAAATTAGGTCTATACGAAATAATTTCTCATATAATAATAATTTTAATATATATATATATATATATATATATGTTTTATGAAGTCAGTAGTTGACTTCGGTTGTCCCCGAACCAGTCCGGGACTGTTTTGCACATTACTTCGGGCTGGCCGGCATAATAATTTTAATAAGATTATTCTCACTTATGACAGTACTTTTGTCTTCTTTTATGTATATATTATTTATATATGCATACGTTTTTAATGCTGGGCAGTGTAACTCGGTTTTCTTTTCTTACTTTGTGTTTTTCTTTTTTTTCTTTTAATTATTTACCTTGTTTGAATAGAGCGTAACTAGGTAATTAGTGCAAGAACCTTATCACAGTGATACAATATTATTTGGTGTCTTATTTACATTATAATGTATTTTATCAATACCGGAAAATCTTATATACTCTGGTTGTACCCGATAATTATTTTGCAAAGTCATTTTATTAATATGAACGATGTTTATTTAATCTCTATCATTTCTTATTTTTTTTTTCTATATTCTTTTTTCTTTTTCTTTTTTAAATGTATCAAAATATCGTCAAAAATTTTAAATCTATTATTTTTCTTTCTTTTCTTTTTTTTTCTTCTTTTGCTTTGCAGTTTGTTTGTGAGAGAATCTTGTATTCTCTTTGCATAATTAGGACATTTTAAAATAGTGCAATTGAGAAATTGCAGTTGGCAGGAATTTAGCAGAACTTTGATAATAACAGTAGTACCGCTCGAATCTACGACATAGAGGCATCTATCGTAGCAAATACAAGGCGACTTAATCTTAATTTACATCGTCTCTTTACGTACGTACGTATATATAAATATATATATATATAATGAACAATGTTCAGAAATATTAAGGAACGATATAATTACATTAAACGAGATATATATAAAATGACAAAACTTGAGCAACATTATTGTGCGTTGTATTCATATTATTTTTCGTATTCTTGTTTTTACATTTTATATACTCGTATAATACGTAATTAATATATATATATAACATGTAATTCTTACATCGTGAAATGAGAAATTATTTAAATCAAAACAGACTGACATCAGACTTATTCATGGCAGATGTACATCAAACGAATGCCCATTTATATTTAAACTATTAGAGTTTAGTTCGCGTGGAAAAGGAAAGAAGATTAATACAGAAATTTCATACTCGTACTAACATTACAAAAACTGGACATTATTCCTTCCAGCCTGAAATCCTATACCCCTGAAAAGAGGGGTGAATAAATTATTCTCACAAAGAATCAATACAATTACAATTTCCGAGGTAGTGACGCAGCTTCTTTCGTAGAAGCTGTCTTTTTTTTTTCTTTAAGGTAGAATGATCCAATTTTTTTTGAACAGTTTTGTTTAATCACAATCGTTAAGAAAAAAATTTTCCATTTTTGTTCATCTGTTAACAGTATTGAGTACTGTTAACCGCTTATTTTATATTTAAAAAAAAAAAAAAATAAATTGACGAAATATTATCTCATGTGTATGTATATATACATGATACATGCATATATTTAATATTATAGCAAATTTCGATACTTTCGGATAATTATCAAAATTGACGCACATGCATCTATTTAAAATATTATACAGCTCTAAACGATCGTATCGAATTTTCTTTTCACACATATACGCACACACGCATTCACAAATATCAGTGCCATATCGTAATAATTCGTACCTCTGCATTTTTTTTTTTGTACTCTGTACGTGTTTAAAGGAAGGCAATTTGTCTGACGAAGGATTAACTATGATTACCGAAAAACCTGCATTATTTTTGTTTAGATGTTCGTATTTTGAGAGTTCATATTACACACACTTAGAAGAGTCCATATGGAATAATATCACCGAAAGTCTTTTTAGAAGACGATGCTCTGTTGTTCTCTAAGTTTTTTGCGAGATTAAATTCTATCGGTTTTACTTTATTTTCGTTTGTTTGTTTATTTGTCTTTTGTTCTATTTTATTTCATTTTCATTAGTTTCATTTTCAATAATTTCATTTTTTATTTATAATATTACTTTCGTTGTTACATAAAATTAACTGACGGCGGCATCTGCAAATTGAATAACCGAATACTGTCTTTGTGAGCAAAGAAGATTCGCGCTTCTCTCACTTTCCATTGATTCAAGAATCATTTTGCAACGTTTCCTTGGCGGTAAAATTAATGTTTCCTTTACGGGTATAGCAAGATCGAGAGGATCCGGTGAGGGTACTGGACTGACAGGGTTGCTACTTGGAGGTGTTAATATTTGTTCTTCTTTTTTCACATTCATTCCATATTCCCGTTGACTTTCTTCTTCAACAGCCTCCAAAGCTGCCTCAACTCTTCTACGTGCAACGTTTCCGGGTAAATGCATTAGGGATGAACATTTATTACCAACAAGTTCACTTTCTGAGCTTGGTAATAAGAACTCGGTTATTGGGTAAGGACTTAAGGATATGTCGGAATAAAGGAGGACATGGGACTGATGTTCATGGTTTGTTTGAATCTGATGAACCGTTTTTTGTTCGTTGCTTGTTTGAATCTGATGAATCGTTGCTCTTTCTTCGAGAATTCCTCCATTCAATAAAGCCATCGAATCTGAATATTGTTTACTTGTTAAACCGTAATATAAATGTTGTTGATTCGGATATACTTCACGCGAATTACTTGCTATGTTTTCTACGTTTTTGCACAGAAATTCCTTATTGCTTCTGTTAGGAATAATAGGAGGCGTGGGTGGTAGGTTAGGAAGAATAACAGAATTGTTTTCCGAACATTCCATGATTGATTCGATCGGTGAGTCTCTAGCGGAAGAGATTCCGCTCGATACCGAGGATAAAGACGAAAACGAAGATGACGAAGATAAGGAAGATGACGACGACGACGACGACGACGACGACGATGATGATGATAATGATGATAATGATGATGATGATGAAGATGATGATAACAAAGGAGGAGATAATTGAGCTGATGAACATGAGGATGAGGATGAGGATGAGGATGAGGATGAGGATGAGGATGAGGAGGATGAGGATGAGGAGGATGATGAGGATGAGTCCGAGTGTGATTTTATGTGAACTTCCATATTTTTTTTCGAACTAAATGTTTCGTAACATAGCGTGCACTTATAGACTTTTTCACCATAATGTGCTACTTGATGGAGCTTCAATACATGATTATATCCGAATGACTTGCCACATATATCGCAAGTATAAGGCTTTTCCCCGGTATGGGTGCGAGTATGCACTTTTAGTTGCTTTGAACAGGTAAATCCCTTGCTACAGATCGTACATACGTATGGTTTTTCGCCGGTATGTGTACGCATGTGTATTACCAATTGACCACTTTGTATGAACGTTTTATCGCAAACAGTACATTTGTGTGGACGTTCTCCTGTGTGAATTCGCATATGACGATGGAGTTTGCCGCTGTGCTCGAAGGCACGTTGACAAACGTCGCACTTGTATGGTCGTTCCTTTGTATGAATCCTCCGATGAACGCTAAGATTTTCCTTCACGGAGAATGACTTGTTGCAAAAATCGCACTGAAAGGGTTTTTCACCCGTGTGAGTCCTGTAATGTCTGGTCAAACGCGCCGGTACCGCAAACGTTTTGTCACATTTGTCACACTGATAAGGATCTTCTCCCTCCTTACTGTGTATGCGTAAGTGACACAGATATAAATTTTTTTGATCAAAAATTTTTTGGCAGACCGAGCATTGGTAGGCCTTATTGTCGTTGCTATTTGTAAGATTTTCCACGAATTCGGTTACGGCAGAAGCAGCAGCCGTGGTACACGTTGCCGAACCGAAGACTGAAAGATCCGGGCTACATACTAGGTTCTTCACCGGTTTCATTGTTTCCAAATTCGGCGCCATCACTGGATTCTGTATCGGTTCAGTTTGGTAAAAACTCACCATCATTGGTTACTACCTTGAAAGAGGCCGCGGCCTATGGAAGAGATTGAATAATTCGATTTTGTTATTTAAACAAAATCTTTATTAAAATTAAACAAAAATATATTAGTCAAAAATAAGATAATAATAATAATTAGAAAAGTCAATTAATCGACTAACTGTCGATAAGCGTTGGCAATGAAAAGCCGAGATGAATCGATTAGCGGTTAAAAAAAGCGTTAACATTTTATAAACAAATTTAACACGTTCACGCCAACAAGTACCACCAGTGGACCGCGGCAGACTTTCTCATCGGGCGGCGCGTATCATCGATGGCCCGAACTAGACTCTTATAGGGGCGGTGCGTACCACCGGTGGTACGCATTCGATTGTGCTATTAGAGACACTGAAAATTAAAATAATGAAAATTTACAGTATTGGGATCTCTAGCACTTGAATACGCTATCTGGTGGCTAAATTCAGAACTAGAGCGGTAAGGGGAATTGCTAACAGCTGATTTAAACTACACGATATTTATGTGGAAATATTTATATTTTTAATTTTATGACTTGCTTATTTATTATTGAAAGTAGAATTGAAAATAACTAATATCGTTAAACTAAAAAGTTGTTGCAAAGAATTTCTTTTTTTGTTATGGAGCTCCCAGCAAGAAAAAATAAAAGTAAAGTAGCATAGCTTGTCGTGATGGAAAAATGAGATTTTTTCAAATTCCACCTCGTAAAAAACAATTTGTTTATCGAATAAACAAATTTAGTGATGCCTAGCCGTGTCAACAAGTCGACACAGTCCTTCACCAGCCCTGACTTGACCACGGTGCTGTGTACAAGTCTGAGCGCAGTGTGGCTGTCACTAAAAATGTAGATATGTTTGCCATAGTACCCCTTTCGAGGATACTGTGGGCGCAGGCCCAAATGGCAAACAGCTCCGTCTGAAGAACAGAGGCGGTACCGGTTAGGGTGTAGGACAATTCGGTCCTAGGCCCTCCAGACCAGACCCCTGCTCCCGCGTTGGAACCCGCTTTAGCCCCATCTGTATACCAGACGGGCCCTGCGGGTGCCAATAAATGATTTGGGTCCTCTGCCCATGACTGTCTATCTGGGAAGAGGACCTCGTAGTTATACTGGAAATGGTACTCCTTTGGGCACCAGTCACCCCCAAGACGGTTGATTTCCTCGAAGTCTTCCGTTCTTGACAGGATCGATGCGTGCCCGTAGGAGGCCCGTCTCCAGCTCCCACTGTCTAACAGCCTAAAGGCTGCGCTTCTGGCTCTTTCCTCCGCCGCAATGTGCGGAGGTAAGATGTTGAGCAGAGCCCCTAGAGCCAGGGTCGGGGTAGTGCGCATTGCGCCCGTAATTCCCAGCCCTGTTAGCCTGTAGACCCTGTCTAACGCTTTCCTGTTTTGAGCCCGCTCGACGCCGGGCCACCAAACTAGAGAGGCGTACGTCAGTTGAGGGACCAGTATGGCGGTGTAAATCCACCTAACCATCCGTGGTTTTAACCCGCACGTCTTACCAAATATCTTCTTGCAGGCCCATCTAGGGGTATCTAGCGTTACCCCTAGGTAGCAAACTTCCCGGGAGAACGTTAGC